TGGGTGATGTTTGAAATCAGGTACCGGGTGCCGAGTTTATTGATATGGAGTCCATCGGGTGTGAAGAAGGGGTGGCGGTTCCAGAACAAATTAAAATTGTCAATAAAACCAAAGTTGTGCTGCTGTGATGATTTTTGAAGCCAAGTGGTGAGTGATAGTATCCTGCTAAAACGTTCCACGCCCCGGAACGTTTTAGACCCATCCTTCTTTGCAGCTAGGGCCTCTATCAGGAGCAGTGGTTGCAGCTGATGTTGATGTTCGGCTTGGTCAGGATCGGAGCTGGAGAATTGTTGCGTATTGTACGTGTTTTTGTGGGAGTGGTTTTTATGGTTATCTGTCCTTTATGGACCAATGGCTCTATGTTTTTTTACCATTGCATTTAGAACAATATAATTCTCTGATCTGTGTTGGGGAATTCAGCGGTTAAAGTCCTTTGACATAATGACTGTTGTGATTTAAACAAGAATACATTGAATTGAATTGATAGGGGAAATCTGGACAGACATGGGCAGAACATGCAAACTTCACTCAGAAAGGCCCTGTTCTGACCAAACCCAGGATCCTGCTAACCACTTGAAATGTATAATTTGAGATGGGGATGTTTGGATATCTCCAAGCGCATTTAAGCCCAATGCAAATATTCTGAATGTGCAATCGTGAAATAAGTCCAAGGGCCCTTGTTGAACCAAAATATTAGACTTTTTTAATTCCTTTTTAATCAGATATGCTTTCAAACATACAACAAAGACAATAGATGTGTCGATCAATCTATTTTAGACAGTTTCATATTGTCTCATGTCTTATATTCATTCATGTTCAACCCCTTTGTGCATTTCTGGGTCGGGGCATTCAGAGCTGCCACCAAATTCTCATTGATGCATACACATACTGGGTTTTCAAATATTATCTGATACTTGCGCTATAACCTTTCTGGTTGGATGCTAAACCACATTCTGTTGCATTGTTCTGAACATTTCACTGACAATAAAGTTGAATCTAATCTACTTTAACTGTGTGAATAAACGTGTGAAGGCAAACAGCGTTGTCATTCCAAGCGTGACTATCGGAAAGTTGCAGGTTTTATTTATCATCTCGATTAAAGCAACGGCACCGTCAAAAACAACCCAATCTTTGTCAACAACATTTAGCCTTCCGCTCTTCACTCCCTCTGTCAGTTCTTGCCCGGTTTTCCCAACAAAAAGGCGATGACACATCCTAAGTGCTGAGTGCGGAGGATTGGGATTAACTGGCGAGGTCTGGGATTCCGTTAAGCTGTCGAAACGGGACTCCCTCGCAGTGGCAGCCGTGAGATTGAATTAGGGGTGACGTGCCTACGGTTGGGGCCGCGGTTAACGGCTGTTGTTATTTGCATATGACAAAGCAATGTTCAAGGTTTGACGGGATGCTGTTCGCTCCAAAGCCTTCCTGTGTGTGTGTTTATTTATTTTTTATCCGGAAGAATAGAACGTGGCTTGTTATTCGTGAAGCAGGAAACACGAGAAGTAGATGGTCTGGGTTTTTCTGTGGTGGAGAATGAGATGGAAAAAACGTTGTGTGGGCTAGTAATGGAATTAGTGTTGCAAATACAGTGGGCTGCAAAAGAAATAAGTGATAATGATTCTAAACTGTATTTCTTAGGCACATTTCTAGATACTCAAGAATCCGCCTTTCAATTAAAAAGTACATTTAAAGACAGCTAAAATACAGTTCAAAATGTATAGTTAAAATACAAGTTATAAGCAGCATGATCAGAGGATGGTGAAGTTATGGTGAAGGTGAATAGGCTTGAACATGGCAAACAAATACGGTCTCAGGACAGGCCCTTGGGGAACTCCACAGGACGTCGGGGTTCGGGAGGACATAAAAAATAACTGGTGCGACTGAGAAGGATCCCTGACAGAAGACACTACCAAAGAAATCTCCAATCTCTAACCCACGCCCTCGGCTTTGAACGCCATCTGAGGCGTTTGCGGACTCTAGGAATCATTTGAACTTTATCTTTCTATCCTTTTCAGCTTTCAGAAATGACTTGTTTTTATCCTGCTGAGATTAAGGATCAAATCAAAGTTCACTTCTTTCTCTTTCACCTACATGTATCAGTTTGTATTAACCAGAACAATAAGTTCAGCAACATGCAGGGCACTTAAACAATCAAGAGCTTTATTTTTTAGTAAATATAAGAATGACTCTAAAGAACATTGCAAGAAATCTGAATTTTAAAGGAAAATCTGACGGTAATTTTGCTGTTTTTAAGGACAATAACTTTGAGTACAGAATTAGTGGGATTTTACCATTGTCATGCTAAGAAGACGCAGTTAAAAGGTGCAACAATCATGAGAATTATAATTTCTTAGAGCTATTTGCATAATGGATCCGTTCGACTTTTGTCTGGAGTCTCTATCCAACCAAATATGCGCACTAATGCCTCTTTTGTTCCCCATTACAAAGCAGAACTAATAGTTTCCATTAAGTCCTACTTAATGCTTTCTCAATGTAGTATTATGGAAGGAAACAAAAGTTCAAAAGTTATTCAAGACTTCCCGAGACTGTCCACAAACTTGACTTTCACTCCTACAGTCGGTCAAAGCTCCAGGTCAATATCCCAAACAATGTGAACTTCCAAACTATACTTAGCAGCTTTGTGTATTCATAACAATAATACAATAGTCCACTCTCGCTTTGGGAAGGAGAAAATCTGCTGGTCTTTGCTCCCTGCTGCTGTCAGACTGTACAATGAAGACTGATGAAACTAAAATCATGATCATCACAGTACATTAGAAAGAGTTAGAAGATAGAATCCTGCGGTTATATGCACAGCGAAACAGAACTGTTTTTACCCTGGATTTGAATATTGTCAAAGAAGCCTGTCTCACATTTTCAGGAAGACTGTTCCAGATTTTAGCTGCATAAATCTAGCGGCGGCAGTAGCTCAGTTGGTAGAGCTTTGGCCTTTGAGCCAGAAGGTCGTGGGTTCAAGCCCCGCTCAAGACTTTCACCATCGACTCCCACTGTCTGCTGTCGTTGTGTCCTTGGCAAGACACTTAACCTCTGGGAACATCAGCCACAGTGGGGCGGCTGCGGCTGTAAAGTGCCAAACTGCCGTTGTGTCCTTAGGCAAGACACTTCACCCCCATTGCCTAGAATGAGTCTGGTGTGTGTATGAATGGTTGGTGGTGGTCGGAGGGGCCGATGGCGCATACTGGTTGCCTCGCTTCTGTCAGTGTGCCCCAGGGCAGCTGTGGCTACAGCAGTAGTTTATCACCACCGTGTTTGGAGTGAATGAATAATGACACATGTGAAGCGTCTTTGAGTGTCCAGAAAAGCGCTATATAAAACCGATGCATTATTATTATTATTATTAAATCTGAAATACCAGCTGGAGGCTAGTCCCTGTGCTCCTCAGAGTTCCAGCAGGTTCATATGGCACTAACACGTCACAGATGTACTTTGTTGCGAGCCCATTATGGAGAGACTCAGACACAAACAGAGCTGCCTTAAAGTCTCCAGTTCTGTGAATCACACAACTTTAAAATTCCGCTGACTATTTGTTATTTCTAAATCCTTCTGAGAGCTTCTTGAAGAGAGCTGGAGTTGCCGGTAGCTCCTGGTTCATCTCCTAGAGCAGGCACTTCCTCTCGACAATCCACCGCCACTATTCCGATGGCTCCTCTCTCCCTTCTTGTAGATTCAAACTCACTTGGTTAATTCCCCGCTTCAAAACCCTCCTGCCCGGCTATTGAGCGGGACAGACACGAGCGCTTCAAACCCCAGACTCTTTCCCATCGTCACATCTGGCAGCTCACCGATAGCATCCACATATTGGCAGTATCGAGCGCTGTGTGGCGGAGGTGTGCTCAGCGTGGTAGGCGTAAGATGGCTGCTAATCTCCAAATTGCAAACAGCAGGGAGCGGTTTGTGCGGCGGTTCAGATTAGGACAGCGGGAGTGACGTGAGGCTGAGAGCTGATGGGATCTCGGAGCTTTAGAGCAGGAAGCAGGAGTGGGCTGATAAAGCAGTGATGACTTTGACATTGGGATTATAGCAAAGACGGATTTAAACGCTTAAAATGACATGTACGGACTTCCTTTTACTTTTTACGTGTCTCTTAAATGCAGAGAAATGGCTTCTCTTGACCACTTTGACAAGACTCCAGATACAATGTATAATTGAATTGACTCCAGGTTAACGTAAATTTACGATTGGCTCGGGTTTGATTGGTTAATCCGCCTGTCAGTCCAGGCACCTGATATTGAGGAGTTACTGAAGCCATATGCACTGTTGTTAAAGGCAAATGTAGTAAACGTTGGGCACTTGGCAGCCAACAGTCTATGGCAGTTAACATTTCTCAAAGTTCTGGGCCTGGGCTGATTCGGACTGGTTTTGTTTTGAGTCTGCTTGGTTTTCCACTAGTAGTAGTAGTAGCAGCACTTTTAAAGAGGCCAAGTCCTTCAGTACCTGGACCCTTTCCCCCCGGGTCGCTCCCCTCCCTCTGGGTCACAACCCCAGGAGCACCTGCACTGGGAAGCGAGGCGGGATTCTCTGGCAATAAGATCAAGCCAGAGCCAACCGTGAGGCATAGCTTTTTTTATAACAAAAGATTTTAAAAAGTAGTTGAAGTGTTAGTGGTTGTAATGGTAGTAGTAGTATGACTAAATTGTGTATATTAAGAATTTTAGTGCTAAATAATGCAGCGTAATGTCATTTGTCCAGGATTGCTTCACAACTCAATCAGTTATGAAAGATTGTGACTCAGTTTTGTGAATGAAGATGATCAAAAACACAATGAAATTAATATATTTGAGCTGGGGAAAGTCAGGGAACCATAAGAGACAGACCTCTCTGTGTGGCCTCCAAATGTGTCCGTGTTGTGAATGAAATATCGCAGACAAAACTGACCTCCCTCCCTGACAGGAAAGATAATGGATTTTATTAGCCTGAATTTCATATTTCCTGAGAGCAGCTGGACTAAAAGTGTGTTGTTGCCGTGTTGTGTGTCTCAGCAGTGAAGTCGGAGCAGCTGCAGACCATCAAACGTGAGCTGACTCAAATCAAGACCAAGATCGACTCCCTGCTGGGTCGCCTGGAGCGCATCGAGAAGCAGCAGCGCGCAGACTGCGGTGAGTCCCGTACGCTCTCCCCTGTTTTACACTCTCTGTTAGAGGTCGTGAGAATTTACTGTCAAATAAATGTGGTTTTATATTTTTAATGATAATGACGACATAAACTCCATCCGGCTGAAAGACTGTTCCTTTAACAACATCAACATGATCTTAGTGAGATGTTTACACTGGGTCTTTAACTTTGCATTTCCCTCAATCAAAAGCCGAGACATTTTTAACACTGAACCCCAGAACAGTCAATTTGACGGCTTTTGTTGTATTTACTGAAGCTTAATGTACATTTTTGGTCTTCATAACTTCCTGATTTTTTCTATATTTAGTTCTATGTCATTATTTTCATATTCTCATGTTTTTTTTTTTTTTTTTGTAGTTTAGTAGTTTTACCTTTAATCAAGTGTAAAATTCAAGAGTTGCCATTTTTGGATCGTTTGGCAACAAACATTGGCAACTTCTCTCAAGGTGCTGGTTCTGAGCTGTTTTCTTTTTACCCCCAGAGAAAAGCAAATGTTAGTTACCATAGCAACACAGTATTAACTTGAGAGCAGTTAGCGTTTAGCTTTTCAATAAACTGTTTTGCTGTATTTCAAGTTTTATTCACCAGTTTTAGCACGTTTTAAAAAATATATATATAAAACATTAAAAAGTAGTGAAAAACTAAATATGTTTTTTGGCATTTGTTCAGAATTTCATTGATTCGAATTGAAGCCATCAAAATGACCGTAGGATTCCACCAGGATACTAGCTTTATAAATAAACTTGATAGCTCTGACTGCCACCCCCCCCTACCCAGAAATGTATTAAGGGGAAGAAGATGGATGGATGGATGAATGGATACTAGGATAGTGTTTGAAAAAGGATTCGAGAAACCATTATTTCAATCCAATCTCTTTCCCACATATTAAGTTACTTTTAGTTAAAAGTAGATTTAGGACTTGACATAGTCTGTACTTTCACAATCATACATCTACTAATAATAGATGTATTAGATGTAAGATTGTGAAAGTACAGACTGTTCAAAGATAGCCAGTCTGAAGCTTCCGTATCTCTCTGGTCGGATGCAAACCGGCTCCGTGCTCTGCTGATAGAGCGGGCCGCCCAATCCGTCAGTCTCTGTCAAAATGTCAGTGCGGTCCCTTGCCTCTCCTAATATCCCACATTTATAAAGATCTCCTCAAAATAGGCCTCCTCCCAAGGTCATCCCCGCCCTCATCCCACAAACACGTCCATTTCTCTGGGTTACTCACGGACCGGGCTGGCCACTTGACAGCTCGGCGAACCACGAAAAACACTGGAATCTTTTGAGTCTTGATCCTCCTCCGGGCGAAATACTTTGTTAGCAATGACTGAAAATGAGATTGGAAGAAAAAAGGGCGGCTGAGACAGTGGGGAGCTGGGATGTAAAATAAGTTTGAATTGATCCAACAGATTATGAGCTTAAATCTGCGGAGAGCGTGGTTGTGTTTTCATGTTTGGTTCAATTTGACTGCTGTGGCGTATTGTGGTGACAACAGTTTGGCCCTCGGAGGAAGGAAGAGGAGATGGAAAAACAAAACTTGGAATTTAATGCTCTCCCCTGGTATCTCCAAAATGATAGACTGACCTATTTGGATGTATCTGGGAGCGTTCAAAAACTCTTTCAACCATTCGCGACAGTCCAAGTTTGTTCCTTACTTTCTTACGCTCCCCAATTGGTTGTGAAATCATTCATAAATAATTAATACATGAATGTTTTCATCTATTTAGAAAACATGTTATTTTTTGAATGCTTGTAAGAATGGACCCTGTGAGTCACTGTTTGACTTTTTGGTCTGAGAGCTGATTGGCTGAGTGAGGGTGGCCCCCTGTGTCTGAAAAAATATGATCTAAAGATGGGACAAAGCAAACATCAACAAATGATTCTCTCTCTCTCTGGTCTCTCTCTCTTTAGTCTCTCTCTGGTACCACTTTCTTTGGTCTCTCTCTGGTCTTTCTCTGGCCTCTCTCTCTGATCTCTCTCTGGTCTCTCTCTGGTCTCTCTCTCTCTGGTCTCCCTCGCTCAGGTCCCTCTTGCTGGTCTCTCACTCTGGTCTCTTTCTGGGCCCTCTCTCTCTCTGGTCTCTCTCTCTCTGGTCTCTCTTTCTAGTCTCTCTCTCTGGTCTCTCTCTGGTCTCTATCTAGTATCTCACTGATTTCTCTCTGGTCTCTCTCTCTCTCTCTTTGGTCCCTCTCTCTGTTTCCTGGTCTTTCTCTTTGGTCTCTCTCTAGTAGGGTTGGGCGATATTTTTTTTGTACCGGTATACCGGTATAAGTAAATTAAATGATAAGAAAATGCCTTATACCGGTGAAAACGATCATTTAACACTGAAAACAGCGAGCGGAAGACACGTTTGTGTGCGGCGCATCTGCGCGGCACGTGTAGCAGAGCGGCGTGCAGGGACAACAACAACAGAGCAGAGAGCAAACATGGCTGAGGGCGGCGGTGAAGACCATGGTGAAGACATGCAGATTGTAGAAGACATTGTGCCAAAATTGTGTAGCGGAGCTACCTCAAACATATGGGAGTAGTTTGGGAACTAGATAAAAATAAGCAATTGTGTGTAACTATCGACAGTGGATCTAATGTTGTGAAAGCAGCTGCCCTAAACAACTGGACTCGAGTGGCTTGCTTCGGACACTCTCTCTCTCTCTCATAGTGCCATTGTTAAGCTTTATTTACTGTTTACTGTCATTCATTTTACTTCAATGGATGTGTTTGTCTACATTGCAATATAATTACAAATAAGTTATAATTACATAATTATAGAAACGCAAAAGGATACAAAAAATATATACAGTATTAGATCATTTTGACTATATTGGGATTAGGAAACATAAGCCAAAGTGATCAAATAATTATTTGATAATGCTACACTTTTTATATTACAAAGGACAAACTTTTATATATTTTACAAATTACAAATGTTCACCTTTATTACATGTTGCCTGCAATTTTCAGTATGTACAAAACAGAATTCTCTACAATTCAGTTTTGTTAATATGTTTTATATACAATAGCTGTATTGCACATTTTGCTGCCAATAAATCAGTAAATGCACTTTGAGGCAAGTGTGTTTAAAATTATCAGTGCTAAGTTTTTATAGCTTTTATATGAGGCTTTGTTAAAATTATCATATCGTCATATTGTGATACATACCAACAAAAATCGTGATACATGCTGAGGCCCATATCGCCCAACCCTACTCTCTAGTCTCTCTCTGGTCTCTCTCTGGTCTCTCTCTCTGGTCTCTCTCTCTGGTCTCTCTCTCTGGTCTCTCTCTGGTCTCTCTCTGGTCTCTCTCTGGTCTCTCTCTGGCCTCTCTCTGGTTCCTCTCTGGTCTCTCTGGTCTCTCTCTGGTCTCTCTGGTCTCTCTCTGGTCTCTCTGGTCTCTCACTGGTCTCTCTCTGGTCTCTCTCTGGTCTCTCGCTGGTCTCTCGCTGCTTTTTCTCTAGTCTCTCTCTGGTCTCACCTTATGCACAACGTTTACAAAAGCCATATTCTAGTGCAGGGGTCGGCAACCCGCGGCTCCGGAGCCGCATGCGGCTCTTGAGTGCTCCTGGAGTGGCTCCTGGAGCCTTTTCAAAAATGTCTGAAAATGGAGTGTGAGTGCTATATTTTATTTCTAGTTTGAATGTGGTTTCTGTAAGAGGAAAAACAATCTTTATGTTTTTAAATGCTGTAAAAATGTGTATAAGTAATATCTAATTTAAACATTTCTGTCAACGTAGTGCGTCATATCCTATGACGCGCGGTCACGCGGCCCCGCCCCATGCGGCCGCTGCTGTAAACAAACCGGCGTGTGTGCATCATAGACTGTAAGTGCACATGGATCCCAAAGCTAAAACGAGAAAGAGTCGATAACAAGACTGGACTAAGAATGAGAATGAACATTTTATTTCAGTCAATGAGGAAGGACTGCTTCATGTTTGTAATGAGAAGTTTTGTTGCAACACGAGGAACAATGACGCACAAAACGACGTAAACGGTGATTACGTGAAGGATTCATTCATCAAAAATTCAGAGCACCTATTTTCAGACTTCAAAACCTTCTCAAAGACGGTGAAAGAAAAGGCCATTAAGGATTTTAATTCAGCTCCAGCAAACTTCAGCCTGTGACGTGATGGATATGAGCAGACAGTGATGCAGGTATGTGACCTCTGAGCCCAAAGCAGATTTATTTACCGTATTTCTACAATTGCATGAAGGCAAAAAAGTGGAAGTTAAACTAAAGCAGAGTTGTCACGTGTTGCGTCATTCACGACACGCGTGGTGCGACACGCTGCAGTGAAAATACACATTTGATAATCATGAATGATTATTATGTATTTGTAGCCTTTACTTTGTCATTTAGATATTAGGCTAATATTGCTAATACAGCTGCAGCCTGTGTTACCTTCATAAAAGCCTTATACAAGGCTGTTATTTTTTTGCGGCTCCAGACAGATGTTGTTTTTAGTTTTTTTGTCAATTATGGCTCTTTGAACATTTTGGGTTCCCGACCCCTGTTCTAGTGAAATCCTCCCAGCTCAGACTCCATCTTGAACCACTGCATAAACACGGTGCTGAGAATAGACCTGCCGCCGTGTGAGTCCCAGAGGAGAGTCTGGAGGTGGACTCTCTCCCCGACTTCAGCACCGAGCGGTCAGAACCAGAGTCAGGAGCAGAGGAGAGAGGAGACAGATTGGAGACAGGCCTGGGTGAGGTCAGGCTCCTGCCCAGAGGGGGGCGCACTGACCCCCAGTCATATCTGCCCTGCGCTGTCTGCAAAGAAGTCACACAAAGACACTGTGGGGATCGCCGATGCCAGTGACGCAGGAAGATCGCCTGCCCCTTTCTTAGACATAAACAAATCAAATATATGATCCTTTACAACTGGCCAATCAGGAGCCTTCTGTCCTTGAATTTGGCTTTAGCTAAAAAAAATTTGACTCCTGGTTCTCGCCCATTGAGCCAGTCTGAGGTTAATCTCTAATTAGCTTCTCTTGAGAGTCAAAGTCAAACTCTATGGCTGACGTAGTGATGTATCATACAGTGGTCTATAACTTTAACCTTTAGAGGCGTCGCTGTTTCCACATTTTTTAGAGATATTCAGTATTATTCAAATGACGCCGGCTTTAAATGAGCCTCCAGACTTCAGATGGCCCACGGCGACCGACATGTGACTTTGATCATGTTTGAAATGCACGTGTGTCTACAAAGAAAATTACCCGACCACCGTTTTTGGCCCTGATTTTAATCTGCTAAACGTGGAATATCAAATATGTCTGTGGTTCGATCTCTTCAAACATACGGCAAAGCATCCAGAAGCCATTTGTGATGAGTCTGGGGAAGTCTTTACTGATGTATAATGTATTCTATTAAGATAATATTGACTTTTGGTATAAATAGTATCACTCAGGTTCGCACTCACAAAATGGCATAGTTCTTTACTCTATTCTTTATTACTTGGTATTTTGACGCAGACAGAGCAGATGAGGGCTCTACTAGTTTCAAAACAGATCTCCCATCATTGAAGTCGGCAAACAGAGAACAAAAGACCCTCCATATTAGCATGTACAAAGCCTGCTTCCTTCTGGCATTAGCATACGAGCCCCTGGACATCCTGGAGCTAAGGTGAATTACAATAAAACTATTTCCAGTAGACCCATGTATATTTTAGCCACATATGACTTATCAAATTTCCAATCTCACTTTACCTCTGGGTATGAAGCATCTTGGATTTCCTTGTGAACAAACTAGTGCTATAGTTAAAGGTGAAAAACAAAAGTAAATGTTCTTAAATGGACCCGTCACATTTAACCTGTACAACTAAACACTTTGGTTGATTGCAGAGTGACCAATATTGTTACATTCATAGTAAGAAAATAGCAAATAAAGTGTGTGTTTGTGTGTGTGTTGCAGAAGCTCAGAGGAAGTACGAGGACAACTGCGACTCCCTGCACGAGGAGTCCGTATCTGAGGCGGCCGATAACTCCGGAGACGAGGGCGGCGAGGTCCTGGGCGGGGAGGGCGGCGACATGAGCGACGGAGGGGTGGACGATTACGACGAAGAGGGCTCTCACCGCCTGGTAAGCTGCTCGTCTGTGCCGCACGTCAGTGGTTCCCAACCTGTGTCACCATCGTGTAGCCAGGCCACAAATACGGACAAAGAAAACACCGAACTTTCTGCACAACGAGGCGCACCTGTGTATAAGCCACGCCCACTACAATTGAAAAGAAAATCAATGTTGTCCACATATAGGCCGCACCTGTGTATAAGCCGCAGGTTTTAATGTTTTAATGGTGCAGAGAGATGGCTGTTTTAACTGGACACAAAATGATTTAAAACACATATATTAGCTTCTTCGCTAATTACATTATCAAAGAACTAGAAAAACATTGCAGCTTTTAGTCCAGAAAATACAATACATCTTTCATGATCCCCAGGAGTGGTCCGGACCTTATTCAAATATATTGATTTTGATGCTGCTACTTTTCTTTAGGCTGTTCTACACAAGGCCTCCTCCTTTCCACTATACTCAGCTCAGGTTTTGCGTCTGATTTTTTTCAATTCAATTTATTTTTGTACAGCCTTAAATCACAACAGCAGTCGTCGACCACAGAGAATGCAGTAATAACAATCACATGGAATGGGATGAGCGATGTCCATATTGTTAAATGTTAATAAATGTCCCTAAATGTCCTGGATCGTCACTTAATTGAACCACTAAAATCAAACAGTGATTTATAGTGACATATGAGGAGAGGGATCGACTCCCACAGACAGACACACCCGGTTTCTTTATTACATAATGTAGATATTCAGATAAAATAATTGCTCTTTAATTTGACTTTATATCTGGCTTATTAACCCGAGACCATGCCTGGATTGCTGCCGTGTTCTTGACCAAACACTTAACCCAGAATGGCCCCCGTGTCTGCGTACGCCGCTGTCTGAAGTGGGTGATTGGTTCCTTGATATGAGGCGCCTAGAGAGCCTTGAGATGGTAGAAAAACACTATAAATGTGACCATAAAAACCTCATTCTATCAATTCGGGCGTTCTGCTCTCCCAAAATTCCATCCACTGAGCGGCGCTGTGATCAAAAAATGACACCGTTTGTTGCCCAGTTCACTTCCGGTTGATTTCATACAATGGCGAATATGGCTCACGAAAACAACAAGCAATTGACAGTGCCTGAATTGCGTGAAAGGTTGAAGCGAAAGGGTATTTGCAGTGTGGGAAAACGAAAGGAGGAATTGTTGTTGCTAGTTCAACGAGCGGATGGTGTTTATGAAGATTTAGAAGAAGATGACAGCGAGCAGAGTGAACGAAAACGGCTGTGTGTGCGAGTGACAGATGGTAACAATGAGAATGAAGTTCAGCTAAGAGGGAAGAATGTGAATTGGACGGATGATTTGCGCGATATGCCACTAGTTAGAGACGGGAATGTATTTGCATAATGTAAAATGACGAAAACACTCAACCATTTAGAGAAAATGCGCCGGGCAGAGAGAACCGGAAGTTGCGAAGGCAAGTGTTACCCATAATGCAACGCAAAATTCAGTCGCTCCCCCGCCCATCGGATGGAATTTTGGGAGAGCAGAACGCCCGAATTCCATTAGCGGCTGTAATAACACCCTCTGTGTACCCCTGGTTGAGAAACACTGGGACTTTAATGCAACTCCACCAAACATAACACGTTTGCTCATACATTTTGAAAAGGGGTTGAATGAAGACGACAACGCAAGAACAATGCCAGAACCAAGAACAACACACAAAAATAACAGTACAAAAGTATGGTGACTATATGGTATAACACGCAGACACACACACACACACGCAGACGCAGGCTAAACACTCTCTGACCCTACACCCACTTGAGCCAGAGACGCCCAGACTTCTTCCCTCTCCTCCCACAGAGAACATGAAAATTGTCTTATCTGGGAGCACACGTGTCTCCTTTAAAACCTGTTTTTATCCTACTGTAAGTGATAACTGTTGATAAGTAACACAGTACACTGCCATGGTATAACACACACCCACACAGACCCAGGCTAAAACACTCTCCGGCCCTACACCCACTCGAGCCAGAGACGTCCATACTTCTTCCCTCTTCTCTGACAGTAGCACACATTGCTCCTTTAAAACCCTTGTGCTATCCTGGTGTCCAACTGACTTGCCGCAGTGAATACATTTTTTTTTCAAGTTTACTTTTGATGATTTTTACTAACTTGACCAGACCAGTGTCGGACCCTTTTAGACCCTAATTTATGGTATTTTTCATCCACTTTGAATCAGTGTGGCGGGTCGTTGTGACTTAAAGACAGCACAAGTTCAGACGCTCCTATAGAAAATAAAAAGCACATACCCAACCACATGCCCTTCATCTGATTGCACCATATTTTCCCCCCTTTATCTGAGCGTGGCTTTATACCTTTGACAGCCGTACACATACCGTACACATACCCTCAGCAGCGAACATAATGGCGGCCCAAACACTCCAGCGGCCCGGAGTCTTTCACCTTCTCAAAGTTAATAGTCCGGAATTATTCATGGCCGCAGATCTGAGAGGCTTTACATGAGTGAGCGAGGCAGGCGCCGGCTCTGACAGCGGCTCCCAAAGCGGAAAACCTGCGCATATATTCTCTCCGAAGAGAGAGAGAGACCAGAAAGAGAGAGAGAGAAGAGAGAGAGGGAGGGAGACCAAAAAGAGAGAGAGAGAGGGAGACCAGAGAGAAAGAGAGAGAGAGGGGAAGACCGGAAAGAGAGAGAGTGAGAGAGATACCAGAGAGACCAGAGATAAGAGACCAGAAAGAGAGATGGGAGACCAGGAAGAAGGAGGAAGAGAGAGAGGGAGACCAGAAAGAAAGAGCGAGAGAGAGAGAGACAGAGGTAGACCAGAAAGAGAGAGAGAGAGGGCAGAAAGAGAGAGACCAGAAAGAGAGAGAGAGAGAGGTACCAGAGATAGAGAGACCAGAAAGAGACAGACCACAGAGATACACTAGAAACAGAGGGCGAGAGACCGGAGAGAGAGAGAGAGAGAGAGACCAGAGAGAGAGACGCCAGAAAGAGAAAGAGAGAGAGAGAGAGGGACCAGAGATAGAGAGACCAGAAAGAGAGAGACCACAGAGATAGACCAGAAACAGAGAGCGAGAGACTGGAGAGAGAGAGAGAGAGGAAGACCAGAAAGAGAGAGAAGCCAGAGAGAGATAAGATCCTATGATTAAGGCAAACTCAGAGAAGGTAATTTCACATCAGTGCAGGTCTATTCATTAAATCTTAAGCCTCAGAGTGAGACGCAATTATATTTATTGTCATTTATTCATTTGACGAGCTGAATTATGCATGTGTTTTAATTGAGTTGAAAAGTGCGGGAAAGTTCAAGGTGAAGCTTCGTGAGCGATCTGTCGACTCCTCGTCACATTATAGAGTCAAGGTTGCATATTTACTGACGGGAATTATTAATTTACTGACGGGAATTACAAATCAGGGGCTGACTTTTAATGGCAAAGTTTTGAGAACTTTTTTGCCTAAATAAAACTCACTGGTGTTTACTAAATCACACCAAATAAGAACGATCAAGGTGAGGTTTTTCACTCTTTTAAGTGAATGTCAGTTAGTTTTCACAATGAAAAGAGAAAGAGACGGAGTGAGAGACAGAGTGAGAGACAGAGTGAGAGACAGAGTGAGAGACTGAGTGAGAGACTGAGTGAGAGACTGAGTGAGAGACTGAGTGAGAGACTGAGTGAGATACTTAGTGAGAGAGACTTAGTGAGAGAGACTTAGTGAGACTAAGTGAGAGAGACAGTGAGAGAGACAGAGTGAGAGAGACAGAGAGAGAGAGACTGAGTGAGACTGACAGAAAGAGAGAGAGAGACTGAGTGACAGAGTGACAGAGAAGGAGAGAGAGAGACTGAGAGAGAGAGAGACTGAGTGAGAGACTGAGTGAGACAGACAGAGAGAGAGAGAGACTGAGTGACAGAGTGACAGAGAAGGAGAGAGAGACTTAGAGAGAGAGAGACTGAGTGAGAGACTGAGTGAGACAGACAGAGAGAGAGCGAGAGAGAGAGACTGAGTGACAGAGTGACAGAGAAGGAGAGAGAGAGACAGAGAGAGAGAGAGAGAGACTGAGTGAGAGATGAGAAGCACCAGAGAAAAGAGGCCTGTACGTTTACCTGGATTTGAACATTGTCAGTCGAGTTCAAAGCCTGTCTCACATTTTCAGGAAGATTTATAGCTCCATAAATCTGACACACTGCCTCCTTTTAACAAGTATTTTTATGTTACTGGAATGAAAATGGTGTCATTACAAAGCCTTGAAACTGTTCATCAAATGCATGTGTTAGATTCGAGCTGAATAAATGCAGAATATGATTCTTATTACTGAATCTGCGGGGTCCTGGTCCGAAACATTACACTTGACAACTTCTCTCAATTCAATGCTGAGAATGTGGCCTTTTTAAATAGAGAAAACCCCAATATTAACGTTAGCAAGAATGCTGCCATTAACAAAGGTATTCGGCATATCTGCTAACTTTCACATTAAAACATTTGACACATTTCTCCCTCTTTTTTTCATGCACTAAATATATATATATCCATGAATCATTTAAAACCTGTGACCTCTTTATCGGATTTCACACCTGGCCAGAGCTGCGACACCGAGGCAATTACCCGGTGTACGCACACAAACGCGCACACATATCCACACACACACACACACTCAGACACACTGGGGCACTTACTTTCTCCTGGCTATATCCATTAAACTGTGTTAACCTTCAGCAGACGGGCTCCTCAGCAGGTGTCCAAAAGCATTGCATATATCTCTTACAAGGAGAGCTGTCATTTTGTCATTTAATGGCGCGATTTCATACTTTTCTTTGGCCCCTGTAGTGGTCCGTCTAATAAGAAAACCTCCTGTCGCCGTGGTGACATACAGCCCCATGTGAAAAGACATCACAATACACTTTTGTATTCAGCTCTGATCCCATGTGGGCTTCAAAAGAATGTGCTCAAGGAGGTGGAGATTAATGTATTCTGACACATAGTCCAAGGTTCATGTGTCTCTTAACTGTTGATTCTC